GGATTATTATTCATTAAATTGGATTATTCATTAAATTGGCTTATTATCAAATTGGACTATTCATTAAATTGGATTATTATTAAATTATTAATTATTATATCAAATTGGATTATTATTCATCACTATGTTTTATTAGGATTATTTTTTTATCAAATTGGATTATTATTCATTAATATTAGGTTTTTATTATTATCAAATTGGATTATTCATTAAATTGGATTATTATCAAATTGGATTATTCATTAAATTGGATTATTATTCATCACTATGTTTTATATTAGGTTTTTTATCAAATTGGATTATTATTCATTAATATTAGGTTTTTTATTATTATCAAATTGGATTATTCATTAAATTGGATTATTATTTCAAATTGGATTATTATTCATTAATTGGATTATTATCAAATTGGATTATTATTCATCACTATGTTTTATATTAGGATTATTTTTTTATCAAATTGGATTATTATTCATTAATATTAGGTTTTATTAATCCATATTATTTTATTAATTACTTAAATTTTTACAATCATTTTCTTTACTTCGTATTTAATTCTTCTGTACAATAACTTTATTATTTAGGTTCTCTTATATAACCGTCATCACTACTATATTTTTTGGCCAAAAAATATTTGTCTAATTTTCATGAAAAATAAATGTAGGTACGTTTAAGATGTCTAGTGGAGCTACTAAACGTGATCCAGCTTGGGAACATGGAGACCCAATAGACGGAAACAAACATGGCACAATTTGCAAATATTGTGGTCGGGTAATGAAGAGTGGTGGAGTGACACGACTTAAGTACCATCTTAGTGGATTAGATCCAGCAAAAAATGTCCAACGATGCGATAATGTCCCCCCAGAAATGAAGGCATTCATCAGCACATTATTAAAAAATAAAAAACAGCAGAAGGAAAAGATAACACAAGGAATGGAAAATATTCGAGCTGGGCTACGAGGAGAAGTCATTGGCCAAGCCGTTGACAGTGATGATGATGACGATGAGGACGAATGTGATGATGACATGGGACTTGAAGAACGACGCAGTTTGAAACAAGCATTACGTGCCTCCAAACAGTCAGCATGGGAAAGAGAATACCTTCATAAAATTCCTAATAGGGGACAAGGTTCCGGGACAAGTGGTGGTGCACAAATGAGACGGGGAGGCAGTCTTAGAGAATCACAACCAACACCACCAATAGCCCCAAGTTTATATAAGTCATCCAACGCACGTCAAAAGAGTGTTTGGAGTTATTTTAAGGGAGGTAATGTGAAGGAGGGAATGGTGCGTCTAATTAGCAAGTTCTTTATCTATGAAAATGTCCCTCCTGCGAAGGCATCATCACATCATTTCAAAAATATGGTAGTGGGATGTCAACAAGCCGGTGTTGGAGTACAACCTCCCACTCCCTATGAGATAAGAAACAAATATTTGGATTGGGAGTATAACGACATTGGCAAGTATGTTAACAAGTTGAGGTCAAAGTGGGAAACTCATGGTTGCACAATCATGTGTGACGGATGGACTGGCCCGACCAGATTGTCTATCATAAACTTCATGGTATACTTCAAGGGAAAAACAGTTTTTTTGAAGTCTGTTGATGCTTCAGACCATATAAAGAACTACAAGTATATTTACAAATTATTGAGGGATGTAATCATGGAGGTGGGATAGCATAATGTTGTCCAAGTCGTGACCGACAACGGTTCTGCATTTGTCAAAGCTGGAAAAAAGTTAATGAAGCATCATAATGTGTTTTGGACATCATGTGCAGCACATTGTATTGATCTCATGTTTGAGGCAATGGGGAAGAGAGAGAATGTTGCTACTGTGGTCAAAAGAGCTAGAACGATCACAAATTATATTTATAATCACAGTTGGTTGTTGGCAAAGATGCGTGAATTTTGCAAGGGAGAAATTATTTGTCCAGCTACCACTCGATTTGCCACCAATTATATTGCATTAGACAGCCTAGTTAAGAAGAAAGCAGGGTTGAAGCAACTATTCACTAGTGACGATTGGGCCAACCACAATTTCAGCCGCTCAAGTACAGGTCGTATGGTGGAAAGTATAGTGCTTGATCATGCTTTTTGGACTCAATCAGAACATGTGTGCCAAGTGTTTGAACCTCTGTACAAAGTTTTACGGATCGTTGACACATAAGTGTATCCTACTATGGGGGCAGTATATGAGTTGATGCGTGTAGTGAATGATGAATTGGAAAGAAAACATGGTGCAAGGTGGGTCATAAAGATAATTGATGACCGATGGTATAAAACATTATACCACGATTTGCATGCAGCATGTATAAATTATGTCATAATTTGCAATTCATTTCTTTAGTTGCATAAGTATTATTTCTCTTATTAGAGTATGTGTTTCTTTGAACATCATATTATTTGAATCCCCGATACCAATACAGACCCGGTGTTGGAGATGATGGTACCCTTATACGTGCTGTACATAATGTATTCTCTAAATTAGACCCTGCATCACCAGCAGTTGGCCAATTTGGAAATGAGGTACACAATTACTTAAATTATAATAATTACTTTGTTGGATTAAACTAACACGATTTATTGAATTCAGCTAACATGGTTTAAAGATGCAAGAAGAACTTTTGGAGAACCAACATCAGTTGCTGCTCGAACAAATATGTCTCCTAGTGAGTATAAACATATTTCACTATAAGTTTATAATAGAATTTGTTGGAGTTATTAGGCTTATCAACATTGTTTTTCATTGTAGCTGAATGGTGGATCATGTATGGGACTGATGCACCAACTGTGAGAAAGTTAGCAATCAAAGTATTATCACAAACAGCTTCCTTATCAGCTTGTGAAAGAAATTGTAGCACATTTGCACTCATACACACAAAGCAAAGAAATAAGTTGGCTCATAGTAGCTTGGAAAAATTAGTTTATTGCTACTACAACATGAAGCTTCAACTTCGAGATAAGGAAGCAGAAATAGATCATGTCGACCGTGGTGACCCACTAGATGTGTTTGATATTGTTGGTGCAGATGATGATACACAGGATAACCAACTTTATCAATGGATTAGACCTCTTCATTTAGATGATGATGAAGGCAACCCAGCTCCCAGAGTTGCTGAAGAAGCACGTAATGAAGGGATAAATGTAGAAAGAGTATTAGAAGAAGAGGTGGGATCTAGCAGCGCTGACTCTTTGGAAGAACTTTTGCGCCCAAGACCAAGAAACACTGGAATTCCACATTCTTCCAATCCTACACAACCACAACATCGTGCTGATACTAATGATAGCTCTAGTACAAGATCAGGAGACTCACCTACCACCGGAGGTGGGAATGATGAAGGATACAGTGGAGCTGGAGGTAGTGGAGCTGGAGGTAGTGGTGGTGGATATGGAAACTATTATGGACAACCTCCCAGATTTATGACCCCCTTCACTGGTGAGGCAAACTTCACGCATGCAACACAGGATGATGACCATGGCAGTAGGCGGGCAGGACCAGGAATTGGTGCCATAGGGAAGGACTATACTCGTAGAGAAAGAGGCAAGGGGATTTTGTCAAGTCAAGAAGATGACTCGTTATCTAGAACTTCGGACTCTGTTGGAGTGGGAAGTAGTAACTATGGTTATACTCATAGCCAACCATTTCCCTACCCTTCATATCCCATTCCTGTTGGGATGGAATCGAGCGAGTCATGGAAACAATCCCAGACTCAATCTTCAAATGATTTTGCTTATGGACAACCTCAACCAATCTCGGATCCATATGGGTGGCATGTTAACAATTACATGCAAAACTATTTTGGGGATTTATCATTTGATAACTACTCTTCACAATACACTCACTCTACACGTAGAGATGATGAAGATAGTGAAAATTTTGAACCTCATAGGAACTCTATATGGTACTAAAGTGTAAAATATTGTACTAATTCATTATATATAAATGATTTATGGTGTGTTTAGACTTCTTTCATTAATTACTACATATTTTCTACACTCACAATGTTTGTCAGCTCGCTATATAATCAACTTGATAATGTTAAATCCATCATGCAATGCATTTCCTTCCAATTTGTTGTGATAAACTAATAGATAATTGACTAAATAAACATCCTGCAAAGTTTCAATAAAAATTTCCAAGTTTTTCTTACAATTTCCGTGGTTTCCATGTAATTTTTATCGATATCGATATTTTATCGATATTTCCGTCGATATTTCCGTGTTTTCGGACTACCGATATTTTCGATATTATCGATATTTAAATCCTTGGTTCCGAATGATGAATTGGATATGGACAATTCCAATAAGATTTCATTCTTGAACAAAAATCCATTTTTTTTTATTTATTTCATCTATTCCATGATTTGAACAAGGGGGATACATGTTACACCACGATTTTGAATTAAAAGAGAGATTTCAAGAAATGGCAGATCTATTCACTCCATCAATAACTGAGCCGAATCTAGTGTATCAGAAGGGATTTACCTTTTCTATTGGATTGGATAAAAAACAATTCTTGAATGAGGTATTCAACTCCAGGGTACGAGGGTACCCTCGAGTCTTCCCTTGTGTGATCAAACATATGCTTCCTTCCAAAGGGCTGCTCATTTTTCACTTTAAAACAAATTAGTAATACTGAGAGTGGACTCAACCCCTTATTGTTTAACAAAAAAAAAATGTTACTAATATTACGGTTTAATAGGTTTAGCAAATCTATTACAACGTAAGTTTAATCACTAATATTATGATTTAGTAATATTTTTTCCGATGAATATGAGATCATATTTTGATTAGCCTGTTAGGTTGCCTAACTCAATCGCCCACCCTATTTTCATTGAGAAAAAAATAACGAACAAAAAGTAATAAAGCATTAAAATTATAACAAAAATGAAAGAAATTCAGAGTAATAAACGCGGCAAAGGGCAGGATGGTAATTTGAACGAGGGATAGATCAGCAGCCACATAATGCCGCTTGGCATGTAATAACAAAAAGCCTTTTCCTTCCCAAATTCCAATTGCCCATATCATATCTGCTGCAGCAGCAGCGGAGCAAATTAGCAGCAAATTCTCGGAGCGAAGAAAGTTGCAGCAATGAGATGACAAAGTTTTAATCTTTAGAGGGAAATTTGAATTCTGAGGTATTACTGTTTTGGAAGTTGAGATTAACGGTCACATTTCTTGCTTACCAGTGGCCGTAATTCAATGGCGGATACATCCCATGGGCCTGCCAGCTTCTGGACTCAGGCCAATGCTCTGCTCAGAAAGAACCTAACTTTCCAGGTCTCTCTCTCTCTCTTCTCATCTGGGAATCGTTTTAGTTTGATGTCTGAAAACTGAGGAAAATTGCTGAATAATTTAAAAATTCGAATGCAGAATTCTGGGTTTTCATTCTTTGCTTTTCCCCTTTTGTTTTCTTTTTCATATGAATCTTCCATTTTTGGCACGTATGTTGGAGATTCTCTTACTTTGTCCCACATATTTACTTTCTGGGTTCGTTTTAGTTTTGTAAATTATTGGTTAATTTGTGCAGATTATTTATTTTTGTTATTGATAAGCTATTTTTCTTGTGTATGAGCAATGGTCAATTGGGTCGTTCTGGTTTTGTGAGTTCTACAAATAATGCTTTGTATAAAATCTGTTGACAATTAAAAGCCTAAACTTTGAATGCCGATTCTCCGCTCTAAAACACTCAACCATGGAATCAAAGTTGAAGAAAATTGAGTAGATTTAAAAAACGAGTATTGTTCAACTTGGATTCAGACTGATACCATATATGTGTTCATTTATGCAGAAAAGAAATATCAAACAGAATATTCGGCTAGTTTCATTTCCAATTCTCCTGTGTCTATTGCTTGTTCTCATCCAATATTTGGTCAACAATGAACTGGATAAGCCCGAAAACAGGTGTGGTTGCAGTTGTGTTGATACAAATGGCGATGGCAAGTGTGAGAAAGTTTGTGGACTGGAATACTCAACTTTAACACAAGGGCCCAGTTGCCCGGTTCCTGATCCTCCACAATGGCCTCCATTGCTACAAGTGCCGGCTCCTGACTATCGCGCTGTTATGTCTGATGTTATTCCACATAAAGACTTGCCAAATGTGGCATGTAAGAGGTCAGGATCCTGTCCTGTAACTGTACTGTTCACGGGGAAAAATCAATCTCTCGGAGAAGGTATTGTCCTCTGAATCTCTCACAGAAAGTGTGTTTTATCATGTCAATTTTTTTATTTTACTGACTTTTATGACTTAATTAGATCATTAATTGTTGTAATTGGACTGACTTTTCTTTTTTGCTCTAGTATAATAGTGCTGACCGTTTTCTTTGCGTTCTTGTAGTTTTGGCTGGGAGTATGTTCAGAAGTTCTTCTACTCTGAATTCATCTGATCTGGATTATTTAGCCCGTAGTGCTTTAGTAAGTTATCTTTTCTCTAAGCTGCTACTTTTGCCTTCTATATTGAAGTCCTATTTCCTTTTTTTCATCTCAAATATCATACATTACTTTGTCCTTGTAAAAATTTTCAACTTTGCTTATGAAGTCACTTCTTATGAAATGTTTCAGGGATCAGAATCGACGCCTGACTATTCCAACTTCCTTGATCCGGCTTTCATTTCGGGTCTTCCCCTATATAGTGTTCAGAGCCAATGCTCACAAAACTCTACATTTTCTGTTCCAATTAACATATTATCCATCAAGATCCAACAAGGTAAATCATCTATAATATATCTTAGGGAGCTTTAATTCTTTCTGGTGCACATCTGTGCTTCATTCATATGAGTGAACATTGATTGTTGAATTCACTTGAAAGTTTAATTTTTTGTTGCATGCCACCTTAAACCATTGTCTTTGATTTTTTTTCTTAAACCCAGAGGTTAGATGTGTTCAAGGTTTACATTTGTGGCGGGATAGTTCTTCTGAGATAAACAGTGAGCTGTATAAAGGTTACGAAAAGAGCAATTCAGAGAGGAAGATTAATGAAATACTTTCAGGTCATCGACTTTATATATCTGGCTGTGTTGATTGATTTAATTAAAGAACAACACTGTTGGCACGAATCTGATGGGTTTTTTTTTTTTTCCTTCAGCCTATGACTTCTCTAACTCAAACGGGAACAATTTTAATGTAAGCATATGGTACAATTCAACATTTAAGAATGACATGGGAAGAGGTGCTATTGCTTTGATGCGGCTTCCACGCTCAGTGAATCTGGTATGTACCTATAGCTTCTTTGCTTCTTGAGTTTTCTTCTCTGCTACAGATTACAATAGTGCTAACACTTGTATTCACAGGCATCCAATGCATACCTTCAGTTTGTACAAGGATTTGGTACTGAAATGCTGTTTGAGTTTGTGAAAGAAATGCCCAAGCCTGAAACCAAACTGAGGCTGGATTTTTCTTCTCTTCTTGGTACACTCTTCTTTACATGGGTCATTCTACAGCTGTTCCCGGTAAGTACAAGAAGCTCCTTTCATCCGTATTAGGACTTTCTCAAATCTAACAGTCCTGTTTGTTGACATGGATTTTGCTTTACATCTTTTGATTTCAAATTCAATGTATTGTGGAAATGATATTTCTCTATACTCTGTTCTAATGTATTTGTAAATGCATCTCCTTTGCTCAAGCTTATCTTGATGCTATGTACAAATTTTGATATATGAGTATACATACTTATAGTTTCCCTTTCTTACCCTTTTCTGATGTAGGTTGTTTTGACATCGCTGGTATACGAGAGGCAACAGAAACTGAGAATCATGATGAAAATGCATGGGCTTGGTGATGGGCCTTATTGGATGATTTCTTATACTTATTTTCTTACGGTATCTTCAATCTACATGCTGTGCTTTGTTATATTTGGCTCGGGTATAGGTAATGATACGACTACTCAACAACTATCTCGGCATGGATTCACTTCGATTCCTTTAACGAAGTTGACTTCATTACAGGGTTAAAATTCTTCTCACTGAATGCCTACAGCATCCAATTTATATTTTACTTCATCTATATAAACCTGCAAATATCGCTGGCTTTTCTAGTAGCTGCAATGTTTTCAGACGTGAAGACTGCTACAGGTTTGATGTTGTTTATTTATATTCATATGGAAAGTAGTGGGTTATTCTCAACTTTGATCTAATAAGATGAGTTTATTGACATGCTTCTCATGTTTTTTGATCATAACAGTTATAGGTTACATATTTGTCTTTGGAACTGGGCTTTTAGGAGGCTTTCTTTTTCAATTTTTTGTTCAAGATACATCATTCCCTAGTAAGTGAAAAAAATTTATGAAAATATCTGTCGCCTTGTTTTGTTTGTTTCTGCAACTATTTCCTGTTGAAAACTTATATCATGCAACAGATCTTGTACTTTTCAAAGCTCAGCTCCTTATAAGGTCATTTTGCGTTGTTGTAGGAGGTTGGATCATCGTTCTGGAACTATATCCTGGCTTCTCTTTATATCGTGGGTTATATGAGTTTGCACAATATTCATTTAACGGGAATTACATGGGGACTGATGGGATGCGGTGGGGAGATTTGAGTGATAGCAAGAATGGGATGACAGAGGTATTGATTATCATGGTTGTTGAGTGGTTTGTGGTGCTTCTTTTTGCATATTACGTAGATCAAGCTGTCTCATCAGGAACTGGGAAAGGTACTTTCTTTTGCTTCCAACGCTTTAGGAAGAAGAAACTGCCATCTCTTAGGATGCGTAGTTTGCAAAGGCAGGGATCTAAAGTTTCTATTGAGATGGAGAAACCTCTGTCAAGAGGTAACTTTTTCTTGCACTTAAACAATAAATCTTCATTGCTGGTATAGTATATGTGATGCAGTACAATGGATGGTACAAATTGTTCTAATAACTTTTCGGTTTATTTAGGTGGAAAGATAATATTTTGCCTTATTCTTATTGATGCTTATAAGTTGCACTGTTCATGCATGCCTGTCGTTTCTTTATATTTTTTTCATCTTACTAAGTTGAGGCTAGAGTTGTAAGCCTGGATAACGCTAACACCTTATGTCCAGAGGGAGAAGGTTGAAAAATTGCTACTGGATTCAGATACAACTCATTCAGTCATCTGCGACAACCTCAAGAAGGTTTATCCTGGAAGAGATGGAAACCCAGAAAAATTTGCAGTGAGAGGATTGTCTCTTGCGTTGTCTCGAGGGGAGTGCTTTGGTATGCTTGGCCCTAATGGTGCTGGGAAGACCTCTTTTATCAGTATGGTGAGTATACTCTTTTTAAACTTTAACTTGCGTACACAAAAATTCCAGTGTCCATCAAAAAAGTGTTCAATGTTATGCTTTCTTTGTTCTTCGAAACTTTAAAAGTTATGTGTATCTATCTTTCTGCAGATGATTGGTCTCACAAAGTCAACCTCTGGCACTGCATATGTTCAGGGTCTGGACATCCGGACTCAGATGGATGAAATATACACCAGCATGGGTGTTTGTCCACAGCATGAGTAAGATGGAACTTTTTCCTTATGCTTGTGGCAAAGTTTTCGTATAAAGATTTAAAAACTGATTAATTTCTTGTTTTTCCGGACATTTGTTAGCCTGTTATGGGAAACCCTGACAGGTAGGGAGCATGTGCTATTCTATGGAAGACTTAAGAACCTCAAAGGTTCTGTATTAACGCAAGTAAGTAGATATCTAGTTATATAGACATAGTCACCAAAATTATTATTAGTTTAATTGATTTGTCTCACTTGCCAATTTTGTTGCTGAAGGCAGTGGAAGAATCTTTGAAAAGTGTCAATCTATTTCACGGTGGGGTTGCAGACAAACAAGCTGGAAAGTATAGTGGAGGCATGAAGAGAAGGCTTAGCGTTGCAATTTCACTTATAGGGGATCCCAAAGTACGTCTTTGTGCTCTATCAAAGCTACTTTGGCTTGAAAGTTAGATCTGTTATCTCAAGATGCTGCTCTACTTATTGCATATTCTTTTACAAATTCCTTGTAGGTTGTTTACATGGATGAGCCCAGTACTGGACTTGATCCAGCTTCAAGAAACAACTTATGGACTGCTGTGAAGCGTGCAAAACAAGACCGGGCAATCATCCTAACCAGTACTCTCTCTCCCCCTTCCTCCCCTCCAGTTACTGTATTGCCAATTATAAAATCTACGATGGCTCAGTACTGTATGGAGTAGTGTTAAGTAACCCGCGTAATGACCGGTTTTGCTTCTGTGTTTACTCATAAATCTTATTTGCATATTCTTCAGCACATTCCATGGAAGAGGCGGAGGTTCTGTGTGATCGGTTAGGAATTTTTGTGGATGGTAGCTTGCAGTGCATAGGAAACCCAAAAGAGGTATCTTAACTTAGTGTCATAGCATCTACATAAGATAGATATCGATTTCTAGACACTTTCTGCATAATATTCTTGTTACTATAATGGTGTACTCAGCTGAAAGCAAGATATGGAGGATCTTATGTGTTCACAATGACAACATCTTCGAATCACGAGCAAGAGGTGGAGAACTTGGTGCTGCGTCTCTCCCCAAGTGCTAACAGGATATACCATCTATCCGGAACCCAGAAGTTTGAGTTGCCAAAACACGAGGTCAGAATTACAGATGTGTTTGAAGCAGTTGAGAACGCAAAGAGCAGGTTCACAGTTTTCGCGTGGGGTCTAGCCGACACCACATTGGAGGATGTCTTCATCAAGGTTGCACTTGGGGCTCAAACCTCCAGTGAATTGACATGATTATCATATTTTAACTCTGGAAATATTCATTTGGATCTCTTCTGTAGTTTCTGGTACATAAATAAGTAATGAGTTGATTAGTTTGTATCTGTTATACATCGATTCTTTCTCCTTTTGCAGAAGGAGAAAATATATCGTCGCTTCTTCCCTTGTTTTCAGGTAGAAAGCAACGAATTTGGTGTTCCGATTGTTAGTCATTGTTTTGTTCCCGAGCAAAGTTGGGCAGTTCACACTTTTGCAGTGACAAAAGTATGTCGAAATGTATGTCTGGATGGATTGCAGATTTATAAGAACACAAAGTCTCTCTCCATATTAGCAACTTCTGTCTCCATTTTTTTTAATAAGTTTCTTGCCTCTTGTTTTTGAATTTGGTTGCTTATTCGGGCTTTTAACATCATAATTATACTGATAATTAAGGAAAAAGAAAAAAAAAATCTCCACCATAAAAGGGTTGAATTTGGTAAATATATAGGGAAAAAATTTTGAGATTAGATTATGCTATTAGTTTGGATAGTTATAAGGATAAAGATGTGATTATATTTCGATTTGTAAGATCTATGGAGCAAATTTCAAAGCAAATTAGGCAAGTATCTTTGACTTTCCAATTTTGACTTCATTTAAAATTTAATATTTTGGAATTTTTTTTATTACTATGAATTACAAAACTTCCATATATAACATATTTGAAATTTATGTTGGGATGTAATTTATCTAATTTTAGATATTCATGTGTGATAAAAGATAATTAGACATAAGCCCATTCACACAACTAATCATTAGATTCAATCCTTTATATTTTGTTTATCAATTGAGGTTCATTGACTTTTGTTCCACCTAAGCAACTCATTTTATGTGATGATGGATTAGCCTATTTTTAAGCTTGTAACGCTCTTTTTAATTATTTTTAAACGTCTTTTACACCCCTATGCTATTAATCGAACTTATAACAGTTTGAATCTTCAAATGGGATTCTAAATCTAGACGTCCGTTGTCTTCAGATTTGATGCTTATAGGTGAGAGAGTCGGCCGGTTCATATTAGTGGCACATGGTAAAAACTAACAATATTGAACCCACCTACGTAATGAGCGGATTACCGCTAGACTATACCTAATGACACGGTGAAAAATAAGACCGGCTAATCCCCTTTAGATAAATTACATCCCAACATAAATTTCAAATATAGTATATTTGGTAGTTTCGTAATTCATATTAATCGAAATTCCAAAATTTGAAATCTCAACTAAAGTTAAATTTGGAATTACGAAGTCAAACATATTTACCTAATTTTCTTCGCAATTTTATCTACATATATATGATCACATCCTTATCCTTCTAATTACCCAAACAATTAGCATAATCTAATCTCAATTTTCTTCTCTATATATTAGCCAAATTCAACCCTTTCTTGGTGGAAATTTGTTTTTTTTCTTATTCGGTTTTGTAGAGTGTTTATTTTTCATCCTCAATGGCCAAGATATATTTGTTTTTGTGTTTTCTCTTGCTTCCGTTGGTTTTTGATCGCTCTGAGGCAAATGAAAACGTTGGAATTTATGAACTGAAGAAGGGAGATTTCTCCGTGAAGCTCACTAACTATGGTGCCACTGTGCTCTCCGTTATTCTCCCCGATAAGAACGGTTCGCGAAACCGTGACTTCAAACTGAATATTTTACAATTTTAAATGCGTTCCTTGTGTGATTTCTTTGGTTGTATTTCAGGAAAATTAGACGACATTGTTCTTGGATTCGAATCGCTTAACGAGTACGCGGTTAGTTCATGAATCCGTTGCATCTTCTTCGTGTTACGATGGGATTAAAATCGTTGCCATTGGATGTTAATGGAGTTCTTATAAATATGTGCAGAACGATTCAGTCTACTTTGGAGCCATTGTTGGACGTGTTGCAAACAGAATTGGAGGAGCTCAGTTTGAATTAAATGGCGTCCAATATAAGTTGGTTGCTAATGACGGGAATAACACTCTCCATGGTATACATGTTCACAAATTTTCTTTTGGAAATTTAATTGTCAAGTACATAATCGAGAATGTGAGTTAGGTCAGTTGGTCACGACAATGTGTCCACTACTTTGCGTCTGAGTTTGAATCCTTCTCGCCATAATTTAGAATAATTTCTTAATTTTTGACTCAATTTCCTTGTAATTTTATCTCAGGTGGCCTTAAGGGATTCAGTGATGTTGTGTGGACGGTAAAAAGTCACAAAGAAGATAGTCACATAACATTCACCTATGACAGCTTGGATGGTGAACAAGGTAAAATATAGATTGGATAAGGAGTAATACTTTCAGCATATGTAGCTAAGCTAGTTGGTCGAGGCAGTGTGCCGACGTTAGAATTCTCCTTTTCGTAGATCAAAGCAGTTTAGAATATCGCTTTGTCAAACAAAACGGTAACTACTAGTAACATTTTCTGCTAAAACTGCAGGATTTCCTGGTGATCTTTCTGTGTCGGTAACTTACATGATTATTGACACAAACAAACTCGCTATTAGAATGGAAGCCAAAGCTCATAACAAGGCCACTCCGGTGAACCTAGCACACCACACCTACTGGAATCTCCGCGGCCAAAACAGCGGTGACATCCTCTCGCACACGATCCAGCTTCTTGGGTCCAAGGTTACACCAGTTAATGACCAACTCATCCCCACTGGTGAAATTGCCCCTGTGAAAGGAACACCCTACGACTTCCTTGAGCCCCAAGAAATTGGTAGCAAGATTAGTGGGCTGCCGGATGGATATGACATCAACTATGTGCTTGACCCTTCGAGTCCCAATCATTTGAGGAAGGCAGCAGTGTTGCATGACAGCGTGTCAGGGCGAAAATTGGAACTATGGACCAACAAGCCAGGGCTGCAGTTCTATACAAGCAACATGTTGGACAATGTGCATGGGAAGGGCGGGTTTGTGTACAGAAAGCACGCCGCAGTGTGCTTGGAGACGCAGGGTTTCCCGGATGCTGTGAATCACCCGAATTTCCCTTCGCAGATCGTGAAACCCAGAGAGACCTACTTGCATGTGATGCTTTATAGATTTACAGCTGCTTAGCGAGCTAGCATGTGAGAAATCAAGTAGTTTAAGAGACGTCTTCACAAAAACTGGTCTTAAGTTAATAAATAAGCCCTGCAGAAAGTATGTTATGTTGTTAGACCGTTAATTTTATAATGTTTAATGACTCGGTTGAGTCGAAGATGTGAAATTTGGGTAGCATCCAACAAGGGGAAAGGTACCAACCATGCACCAAATTGTCTGGTACGAAAACTCAGCCAGAAAATTTGACACCAAACTTTCTCAACAACTTGTACTAAAAGAAAAGGATTAAGAAGGAGAACCAAGAAAAGAATATTACGTGTTGCAGCAGTGCAAAATTTTATACGCATCAAGAACGTAATCTGCCGTTTAATAATCTGATAAGAGTTTGATCACATTTTTGTACAAAGAATTTCTAAAAACTAGCTACAAATAATTTATCATGAGGATTGGCAGACATCTCAAACCGGCACAGCGGACAGAGGAGACTCATCTTCAGCCATTTCACTATGCAACTCTCGTGATACTCGTGCGAGCAAGGCACGCGAATCGCTTCAGAACCACACTGCATCTCTTCCAAACATATAACACATTGCTTCCCGCAGCCTTCGATTTTAACTCTCTCCAACTCCTCAATCGATGTACTTTTTGTCCGCACAAACTGCAACATATAATCACCAATTGTACGATGCACTACCATCCGAATAGTCTTGCGGTTCATGTTCTCAGGATGACTGGCGATTTCACGAGCGCGAGTAGAAATCACCTGGATCATGGACGGCTGAACTTGGTGGGGAACCGACGCCTGCGAAAGCATGTTGGATATCACAGACCAGGATGTTATGCTCTCTGTTAGAATGTGGCATTGCTCCTTGAACTCGTGGAAGCTTGGAGGGTACCTTGAATATTGAGCATACATATCGATCAAGAACTCGGGTTTTGTCGGGGAACTGTCATCGGCAAGTTCACTGCCTTCCTGCCATACTTCACAGCTGGTAAAGACTCCGTTGCTTGACATCTTTGAAGAATAACAACAAGAAGTAGAGAAAATTAAAGGGAATAAAGAAAGAAGATATTTAGAGAAGCTTAATGTGGGACTAGTTGATTTGCAAATGCCTGGAATTATTTATATTGTGTGTACTTTTTGGTAATTTGGTTCGGACTTGGCCTGCGAGGCCTTTTGGTATAAGGAAAGGAATGGCTTTGAAACAATGCTATTAGTATCGTTATGACTGTTATGTCCTTGTCATACTTGAATTTGGTTTAACTACTCAAATCTTGTTATACGAGAATTCAAGGAAGACTTGTTCCAACGCCCATTTCTTGCTAATAATGTCAGAAGCACTCTCTCTCCTTTTTTTTTTCTTATTTCATGATGGACACCTTTATCTATGTAATTTTGAGACACCAAAGAGGAACGGAGGCTCAACCTAGATTTGTCACAACTACTAACCACCTTGAATTAAACCCAAGACCCTCTTCCAGAGCTGTCGGACCTAAAAGAAAGAGAAAGGCGGCTCTTCAATTACTGGGATACATCTTCATTTGTGATTCATGATAGATCAAGGGATTGCATGAAACACTTCTGCTCGTAAGCGCTTATGTTAAATGTGCGTTTATTTTAAACATGTAGAAAATTTTCATAAAAATTCAAAGAAACAAATAACAAGTGCTTCTCCAGAATTTATTTCTACAACTCAGAAGCGCTTTTAAGGAAAGGAATGACTTTGAAGATAGGGCAAAACAGTGCTATTAGTATTGTTATGACTGTTATGTCCTTCTCACACTTCAATTTGCAGGAACTAGTCAAAGTTAGCATTAAATTTGGAATCAAAATATGCATTGTTAAGAATGCTTATGTAGGAAGCACTTCTGTTAATAAGCGCTTATATTATAAACATGTAGAAAATTTTATTAGAATTTCCTATAAAAACTACTTTTACGACTCAAAGGTGTTTTTAAATTTTTCTGCCAACCCTAGCATCTTTGATCAACTGATTGAGGTTTTAAGTTTGAATTTCATTCCTCAATATTGCTTGTATTAAAAAATATGAAATTTGATAAGTCAATGAGGCTTACATGTTACAAATTTTCATGTGCATATTCTTAATAAACCTCAATTGAACTGCTCCCAGGATCCTCTTTTATTACTCCCTTCTCCTTCATCTCCCTTCTTATCTCCTTCACATTATCCCATTCATCCATGGCGGCATACAAATTTGATAGCAGTCCGTAGTCTCTGCTGTTTTTCGGCCCTATCTCACGTAACTGGCTCAAAATCCGTCTTGCTAAACTACCATCTCCTTGGCCTTGACATGCCCCGAGCAGCATTCGCCATATCATCGTATCTGGTTTATCCGGCATGGTCTGAACAAACTCAAATGCCTCACTCACCAATCCAGCTCTGCATAGTAGATCAACCATGCAACCGTAGTGCTCCATCCGCGGTTTCATGTGGCAATCGTTTACCATTGAATTGAAACAATTCCGCGCCTCGTCCACCATTCCTGCGTGGCTGCAGGCAGACAATATGTTGAGGAATACAACCCCATCTGGTTTACACCCTTCTCTTTGCATCTGAGAGAACATAGCCAGCGCTTGCTTTCCATCGCTGTGCATCGCTAGTCCGTGTATGATGGTAGTCCAAGACATTAACGATTTCTGTTCCATGCCATAAAAAATTTCACAAGCTTTCTTGATGTTCCCGCATTTGGCATGCATGTCCATCAGTGCATTTAACATGGCAATGCTCCCTGTACTTCTAAACCCGTTTCTCTCGACATAACGGTCAATCCACTCGGCGATCTTGAAGCTTCGAAACTTCGAGGACATTGAAATAACTCCCAAAATGGTAATCTCATCTGGTTTTATTTTCTCAGACTCCATCTGTTCAAACAACCAGAATGCCTCCTTCAGATGATCGTTATCGCTATAACAGTTGATCATAGAAGTCCAAGAAACCACATTTTTCATAGGCATCGTTTGAAATATCCGACGAGCACTTGATAAAACCCCGCATCTTGAATACATACTAATCAAAGCATTGTAAACAAAAACATCATGATTATCGACAAGCTGTCCTCTAATCACATAGCCATGAACTTCCTTCCCTTTCCTTATCGCCTTCAAAAACGAGCAAGCGGAAAGCAAGCTAACGACACTCGACCCATTTAGTCTCAAACCTTCACGGGCCATGGCACTGGCAACTGCAAGTGCCATGTAAGGGAAATTGTGCTGAGAATATGCAGCAACAACCGAATTCCACATGACTAAATCTCTCTGAGGCGTTTCATCAAACACTTGCTGCATACAATCAAGCTCACCGAAAAAACCATACAAATTCACAAGGGAAGTTTGAATTATGATCTCGGAGCCAAAACCCAGTTTCAAAATCTGGTTATGTAACTGCTTCCCTTCAAGAACCAATGGCATCAGGCGGCAGGCCTTGATAGCAAACTGAAGGGTATAACTATCCACCTCCAGACCCTTCCCTCTGACATGGGAATAAACCAAAAGCGCTTCTTTTGGTTGATTCCCCGCCAAGTGACCTCTGATGATGGTGTTCCAGGTGTAGGAATCGAGACCCTTGACTCCGTCGGCGATCGAGCGGGCGGCGGAGTTTGTGGCGGGGAGGGGAATGGAGGCAAGAGATGCAACAAGTTTGCTTGCTACAGAAGGCTTGCGGACGAGGCCTGTGGTGACGATGCGTGCATGGATTTGATGGAGATGGTCTTTGTGTTTGCATTTTTGCAAGAGTGATGTTATTTCATCAAAAGGGTTGCAGTTTGATTTGATGATGGAGGGTTTGGGAGACATATGGATAAATGTGGGGCATTCAAAAATATTGGGGAACCTTTTTAAATAGTTGAGTTTCAAGTTGGTTGGGTTTCAGAAAGTAGCATGCAAGGGGTTTTTGGTACCATTTATTGTCTATTCAGTATCTAATGTCCATCGAACTTGAGATCTGTCACTTATAACTAGACAATATTATTAGTGATCGATTCAATTATGTTTTTTATATTAGAAGTTTGTAACGGTTTCGTTTGTGGATTTACCACCATATTAAAAAACTGGGTTAACTGCATTTTGCACTCTCAAGGTTTGAGGTGATTTTTAAACTAGGTCTTGAGGTTTCAATTTTCTCACATTCTCCCGTAAGGTTGTGAAACAGTATCAACTTATACCTTTTGGATATTTGTACGTCAAATATCTATTAAGTTGATGAGTTTATTTGTCAGTGTGGTGAAAATGTAGCTTACATGTCATCACAATTACGAATTTCTTGCTCACCATGTCATCAAATCTAATGAGGCATGACCCATTTTGAAATGACACGAAACATGGAGGGTGTAAAATGTAGGTAGCCTTTTTAGGTTAAAATCTTGTTTATGTACCAGATTCTCATAAACAAGGATGTTTGTATACCCAAGGAGGTCTAGCATACAAGAAAACAAATTATAAGTTTATCAAATCTTTGTTGGGAAAGCTCAATCACTATAAAACCAGAATTTGCACCATTTGACACAATTACAAACACATAACACATATCCAAAGTCTACAACAAAACAGTACATGAAATTCGAGTTCAATGAGCGGAGTGGGTAGCGGCGGTTGTCTTCTTGAAATCAATCTTGTCAACCTTAACCTCTCCATCGATGAGTTCGTAGACATAAACAACCACACGAAGACCATCAATGTCCATGAGGACAAAGCTCGGGTTGACATCATAGGTGATGCTACTATAAGCGCCGCTGGCAGACCCTGGGTTTATAACGACGCCTCCTTCATGTTTGTACGCTGTGAACTGATGGGTGTGGCCTGTCACAAGGATGTCTACATCCAACTGCCTCTGAAGCATGGCTAGTGAGTCTAGGTCTCCCCATGGAATAACCTACAGAACATCAAATCAAGTTACAACTTCATTATCGTTGGGTGAAATATGAAGATATACAAGGAAAGGAAAAATTGACACAGCTTTCTCTGATGACTTTGAAATTTAAAAAGAATGCGATATGCCAAATGTAAACACCATTGCAGTAGTGTATATAATTGCCTCATTCCAAATAACCGCATGAAATACTTATATTCATCACAAGGGCACCAACTGTTTTGGCTACAAAAGGAAAAAGATATGGTAGTTGTACACCTATTTCTCTTCAAAAGGGGTACCAACTCAAAATCTCTCAGGAGCTGAAGTTACATTTTTCTACTCTTGATGGAACTTCTCTAGGTGGAATAAACAGATAAACTAATGCAATTTATTATATCTCTTCGAAATGATCACAGAACACCTTTCAAGTATTACTTATTCTTATTTTTTCCTACTGCAAGAAAGAGTGATATGTTTCATGCTGAAGGCATTGTGAAACATAAATGGGCATATGATGAAGTGACATCGTAAGCTTATATTGTAACAGGAAACGTGTCCCGAGTTTAAGGGACTGGTAAATCAGCATAAGTATTTGATCCAACAACCGGAAAAGACTTGGTGTAGAAGTAATATTAAAAATAACAGTTCATGGAGAAGTAATGTATCATCCGCTTGGTGACAGGTCAAATGCAATGTCTTGAGATATTAAACATACTTGGTTTAATATAGATAAATTAAGTGAAGAGATAAAGGGGAAGCATACCTGGTGGCCATGACACAGCCCTAGCTTGAACTGACCAATGGTTAGTGTTTTGGTCTCTGGGTATTTTGTCTCTTCATCATACTCACCTCGAGTAATATGCAAGTCAGGACAAAGTGTCTTCAAGTAGTCATGAACTTCCTGAAATTTAGTAGCAAATTCTGAGAAGTGGCATAATGTACGACCAAAATAAATGTGACCTTAAGAAATTTAATAATGTACAACCAAAATAGTAGTAGTGCTGCAGAAACTAAAGTAGATTATTAGCCGTTGCATGAGCCATAACATACTTGGAGACCAAGCAGATACGATGACAAACATATGACATGTTAGAAATAATTGGCAAAGTAATAGATGTTAGAGTAAATGTACAAATTAATGAAATGAAAGTTCTATCCAGAAATCTAGCAATAGCAACAGGGTACATGCAGACATTACCCAATGAAGCAGTCGGTAACAAGAAATTCTTCGCGTTCAAAATAAATATACACATGGGTGGATGCACACTATTTCCTAGTCAGTCGTATCCGATTGACATTGTTTTCTGGTAATCACTCTCAATCCAAGTCTATACAGCAACATGCGCAAAAGTCCGACAATAACCCACATTCAGAATGCCTTTCCTAAATGCAAGATATTACTTTCTGGGCAACCAAACAAGAGAAAACACAGCAAAAATAACCCCAAGATCACTTCGAAATGGGAATTAATCAAGACCCAATAGCCAAAATTGGAGAGAATCAATGAGGGATTCATAGAATCCCAGAAAGAAACATACTTTGATACAAAGATTTCCAGTGCAAATGATGTGCTGGATCTTGCCAGGAACAAGCATGGACTTGAACTTTGCAGGCAGATCAGGTGCCCTGTGGGGTATGTGCAAATCCCCCAAGGCCAACACCAACACCATCCTCACTCACTCTCGCCACTAATCAAAACCCACTTCACAAAATCTGCAGAAAACCCCCAAAAATTAAATATAAAATAAAAAACAAAAGGATTTGCATATGAAATCACGAATATTCTTCTTCAGATGAGCTAATTAATCAGTGATTAGCACAAACTAAATACAATTAGATAATTGGGAATAAATTAAATGGGATTTAAGAGAATTGGGATCGTACCTGAGGAATTTTGGTTGATCTTGCAGAAAGCTTATGGCATGGAAATTGTAAAACCTCCTTCGTTGGTGACGTGCTCTCAAATTCTTCTTCTTCCTTTTTTGTCTTTTTCTTGGGGTACCGTCTTTTTTGTCAACGGAAGTTCAAAAGGCCACGACGTCGTTTCCAGCCATAGAGCGGGATGCCTGTTGGACCTAAGATTTGAGCTTTCATCACAAAACCGAAACTCAAGTGCCCAACCCAATGAGCATAGAAATGGCAAAGAAGCCCAACAATACAAGCCCGAGGCCCAAGGCTCCTTGCTTATTTGAAATAAATAATGTTTTTGTTGCAAGTTATATATTAGTTAAAGTGTAAATATTAGTTTATAGTCCAACATTGATGAAGTACATATGTAATACCAATTATAACTCCTATATATACTCAATTTTAGAGATTAATGAATATATAAGAAATTCTCAAATATTGTTATATATATTTTTTGTATTTACCATGTTTAGTTTGATATGGAATCAGAACAGTTCGCTCTTGGTGATCTGTGTGCTTTAGTTTTGTGCCCACCTTTGTCGTGATTTCCTTCATTGAAAAAAGAAAAAGAAAAAGTAAATAGTGTCGCTTTGTTGCATGGCGTGAACAATGGTATGCATTGTGAACAGTGATCCTCTACAGTGCTGTAACAGTGATTGCTACGGTACCATGAATAGTCTACTGCTACAGTGCCATGAACAGTGATTTACTACGGTGTTCTAGTAAATTGTTTTCATTTCGCTGCGTATCTTTTGTGCCTTTATTGTTCGTGATTTAGTTCAATGGCTCAATATAATCATAGTGTTGTTATGCATCTTGGTGGAACAAATAAATGGATAATTGATACTGGGGCCACTGATCATGTGACTGGTGACCCTAGAGTGTTTGATGAGTTATGTGACTATGTTCGTGATCCATATATTACTAGTGCAAATGAAGCACCTTCCCCTATGAAAGGTGAAGAGTGAAGGCACTATCTCTCTTACTCCGACCTTATCATTGGTCCGTGCTTTACTTGTTCCTGATGTTAAGTGCAATTTTTTGTTGGTAGGAAAACTTCTTGATACCTTATATTGTTCTGCTCACTTCTACCCTACTTATTGTTATTTTCAAGACATTCAAATTCAAAAGATAATTGATCGTGGTAAAAGAATAGGGGGTTTGTACATCTTGACTATGGAGGATACTGTTGTTTCCGGTTCAAATAATCATCAAGTTTTAAGTGCTAGAGTGGATGACAGACATCAAATTTGGTTGTGGTATCGACGATTGGGACATCCATCATTCAGTTATATGAAACATCTATTTCTTTCTTTGTTTCGCACTTGTAGTGATTCAGAGTTCAATTATGAAACATGTGTCATGGCTAAGAGTCATCGTGCGCCTTTTTTCCTGTAAGTGATTCTAAAGCTATTTTGCCATTTGATTTGATACATTCTGATGTGTGGGGTCTGGCGAAAGTTACTTCTAATGGATTCCGTTGGTTTGTTACTTTTATTGATGATGTGCATGTCTACTTTCACCAGCGGAGTAAACTTGAATCATGTGCTCTCTGATGTGTCTTTATTGGGTATGCTAACAATAAAAAAGGCTATAAGTGTTATCATCCTCCGACTCAAAAAACTTATATTACCTACCATGGGTGTCACATTCCACGAGGAATTTGTGAAGCTCTCTTCCGACTCTCCACTTCAGGGGGAGAAATGAGTGAAGTGCAGATTCGAAGAGATGGTATGGATGATGTGTTACAGGTAAAGTTGGGAACATAACCTATTATGTTGCGTGATATTGATCAGTCGGCTACAGATAGTGATCGGTCACCTGTCATTCCCGGAACTATTTCTACTGACGATAGATCAGATGTGCTCAGTGAGTTGCCTATTAATATGTCTGACAAATTACCTTTTGATGATCAGTTGCCTGCTCTTGGTATGTCTAACGAGTTGCCTGATAATGGTTCATCTAATGATGATTCTTCTAACAATTTGGTACAAGACGGTGGCATACATGAGGTAAATTCTAACGATTCTTCTACTTC